TGCCCATTTTTTAAGTAATTAAATAACAACCACTGAAAAGAAATCTTTCAAACATTCTAAGATGTACTTTGGTCTTGTGTCTCTCTCGTTGTGTGTATACAACAACAAGTTTGACAGTTTCCAACTCACCACGATGTCAAACCGCGCGATAATATACTCTACACACTGAAATACATTTTTTTGACATTCGTGAGTAGTGTTGTCTACTGGCGCTTTTTTCTATTTTTGTTGTCATTAAACAAAATCATCTGTTACGCAAAAAAAAACACAAAACTCCGCTGTGAACTACAATCATTTTCCAAAACAACATATTATCGTGCCCGTACTATGAATATTATCATAAGGCATCGCTTATTCTTGAACAGAACATTTGTTTTATGAGTATCGCATCATTTGTGGCTGAGTCGTAAAGATATTTACATTGTGTATGAGCCGATTGTAACGAAAGACAAAAAATATATTTAAAAAAGATGGAACGCTCTTACACGGTTTCTATTAAGGTTTTGAGTGAAAACGAACCACTTAATTTTCGTATCAGTGTTGATCAGAACAATTTTGATGATTTCATGACGAAAATTAAAAATAAAGTATCGCTGTTGACAAATGAAAATTTCCGTATTTATTATACAGGTATGTGAACCAAATCGTGTGTCAGTGGTTAGGTCTGTTTACAAGTCATCGAAATGGGCTTCTGGTGCGCTCGTTTCGTATGATTTATCCATATTTTACTTTACATAGAATTCGCTGTTCTGAAACGAGTAACATTCTGTCTGTACCATTTCGTACAAAGTCTTGCATATATTGATTCATCATCGTTAGCATGTCGCGAAATTTTATCAATTTGCATCACCTTTTATCAGCACTAGTTAATTCTCTCTCTCCTTCTCTCTCTCTCTCTCTCTCTCTCTCTCTCTCTCTCTCTCTTTCTCTCTTTGTGATGTTCATCTTTCTGCTTTTTTCAGGTAAAAATGGCCGAAAATACTGCATACTGGATCGGGATGACTTTCAACAATTTGTCAACGAAAAAGTTGAGGATGTTCTCGTCGAAGAAATTGGACGGCCAGCTCTGCCAGCTCTGCCAGCTCAGCCAACTCCACCAGCTAAAATGTCGTGTCGAGAATTTGTCTACCGCGCGATAGGTCTGTTTTTGACGTATGCTTTTTGCTGGCTGTGTATTCATTTTTGTTATAACTGCACCACACCAGCTGATTATATTGATTTTTTCAATAGACACGTTCAATTCATTGTATTCAATCTCGGATTTTTAATGTTCTTAAATGATATCTGGAAAAAAATCAAAAATACTTATTTCGAATTCATTCGGTCGTTACCATTTGGAAATTCTTAAATTTCGAGCAATTTTTACAAAGTGCAATCCATACACCATTCAATCATCACCATTGCCACTTTGAAAATTTTGCGTCTAATTGATTTTTTTTAAATTTAATCAATCGTTTGTAAATTCGGTATTCATTGATGTAGTCCGAAATTCAATTTATTCACAATCATATGGTAATGGTGCAGTCCTGTTTACATTTGAATTTAATTAAAAAAGTAAATTGCACTTCAATCTTCTTCATGTGAAGAATTCTTCAATCATCTTCATGTAATGGCAACGACCAATCATTATTTAAAATTTCGTCAAATGCTCAAATATTGTGAAAAATCAAAAGATTTAATTACATTTCAATTGCAATTTTATTGGTTTATTTATTTTATTCATTTATTTCGATTTGGATCTTTAAGTAGTTTGCTGTTAAAATAATTTTGAATAACAGAGCTCAAACAATCATGAAATTAAAGAGTTTAAATGAATCAATAGGAATATTCAAACACTGAATCATATGTCAAATGTAATCTTTTTACTCTGGCTCTGTTACAATCTGACGGTGACTTTTGAAAAATGGAAAGTTAGGAGTCCTTTAATTATGTACTATGCGTACAAGCATTCAAAAAATTTTGTACTTCATTCATGTGGATTTTATGAAACTGGTATAAAACCGCATTTTGGGCCAAATCTGGTATAACCGGTATAAATTTGTTTGTATTGCTCCAAATAATTTTGTACCATGGCCTATCATTTTGTACTTCCTGAAAAACACCCTCCCGACCCCATCGACCCACTCTTTTGATAAAAAAAACTCGATTTTCACTTTCCAGTGCAAATGGACCAAAATTCAAAAATATTGTACATCACCCAAATAGTTTTGTACCATGGCCTATAATTATGTACCAATTTTGTACCTCCCGAAAAATGCCCTCCTAATCCTTTCGACCCTCCCCTTTGACCAAAAAGCCCACACAATCGAAACACGAATAAGCGCATTTTCAAAACATGCTTTTTTAACAGACAAAGCTCTATTCGTGTGATATCAAACACTACATAAGGCTCATGCATTCGTCTCATACGTATTCACTCACTCATTCCAAAGTATACACTCACTCCAACCAAAAATTTAATATTAAATATTGACAAATTGTTTTCTTAAATCCTCACATCTGTATAGAAATAATGATATTACCTGTGATATTTACATGATGCTAGGCTTTTTTTACGTGATGATAGGCTTTTTCGAACCGTTTACATTTCGGCTTCCTACTCATTTCCATGTGTTGGTTAGGTTATTTTGTGTTGAAATGTTTATAGACCAAATACTTATTCCAATCAAGAAAGACTAAGACATAAGTACTATTATCACACACTAAATTGTATGTACAATCAGGTTTTTCACGACTCTTGGAGTCGTTTTCCTGCAAACAAATTCAGCCCGTTTTTGGCGGTGTAAATAAATAAATAAATAAACGAAGCAGTTCCTTTTGGCCATATCCACTCTTCAGGTAATGGCCGATTTGAACGAAGTGTTCGCTATCCTGGACAGACGATGCGCAACCGAAAGCGAAGTTAATTTTTTTGACTCGCTGCCTTAACGGCAAAACGTCTTGACATCAATCAAGTGGTGATTAAATGCGCTACAATCACGCTCGCACAATCGTTTGATGTTGAGTCGTTTCTCTCTTATCATTGATGCTCTCTATAAGCATGACTCTCCACTTGAAGGTTCTCAATGGAGCATGACGCTCCAATTAAAAATTGATACTCCATATGATTTCTCAAATATACACATATTATTATATTTCCGAAAAAATCGTTCGGAATTATTTTTTTCGTACATAAGACCATATTGGAGTGAAAGAGAGAGATTCCACTATTTTTCTGCACTCCACCGGAATTATTCCGATAACTCAAGGAAGAGTGGATTGTCTGAGAAATAATTCCGGTGGAGTGCAGAAAAATGGAATCTCTCTCTTTCACTCCAATATGGTCTTATGTACGAAAAAAATAATTCCGAACGATTTTGTCGGAAAGTCGTAGAATACCGGCACAGGATAATTCACTAGGATTATGCTGTTATTGAATAATCGATGCATGACTCGTTCTCTGGATGAAGTTACAACAACAATAACACGTATTTCCAATGTAAACATAAGACGAGCTTTACTGACACGACGCTTATGGTGATAGATGAAGATTTCAATCACATAAGCGTATGCATGGCCCATAATCATAATCAAGTAGCCTTTCGCGCAAACCATATAAATCCTATGCTAGCGTGTCTGTATTGTGTGACCGCTCAACGTGTGTTTTGTGTATGACCACTAGAGGCAGGTCGAATGTTGTCTTCAGTATGGATTTCATAGCTGCGTCTGGATGACTCCATTCCATAAATTGCGTGGAGCCTATATGCTCATCATGAATTCGCTCATTGATGGTGCTACCACTGAGGTGGAGCCGGAGTCACTATACTGTATCAACATCATTGCAGTAACAAAATAGCTCTATTTCTTGGTTTTGTGTATTCGCAGGCATGAGCATGAAACGCGAGCATACATTCAATATCGCTCACTTGCTATGTCGTTCATAACCCACACACTCACACTAACGTTATTCATGAACTATATCGGTGAGTAGGTAGTAGGAATGCATGAGCCTTATGTAGTGTTTGATATCACACGAATAGAGCGTTGTCTGTGAAAAAAGCATGTTTTGAAAATGCGCTTAATCGTGTTTCGATTGTGTGGGCTTTTTGTTCAAAGGGGAGGGTCGAAAGGATTAGGAGGAAAATTATAGGCCATGGTACAAAATTATTTGGATCAATTTAAAAAATGTATACCAGTTATACCAGTTTTGGCCCAAAATGCGGTTTTATACCAGTTTCATAAAATCCACATGAATGAAGTACAAAATTTTTTGAATGCTTGTACGCATAGTACATTATTAGTACATAATTAAAGGACTCCTAACTTTCCATTTTTCAAAAGTCACCGTCAGATTGTAACATAGCCTTTTACTCTTTATATTGATTAAATCTGATATGATTTATTTGAAAGTCACACGTTTGTTATCACAAAAATGAATCAAAACATAAATCATGATTATATGATTCATATTCATATTTGACAATATTATTTGTGATTATGATTTATGACTCAATGAATCAAATAAATTCAATTGAATTAGTTTTTGTGTTTCAAACAATCGTAAATCTAATCAAATAGCATAAATGTACTCATTTTGAGCTCTGTTAAATAAAATCAAAATTATTGATCACCGGAGCCGAATCTGGGGCGGAGAGAGCGCAGCATTTGCTCCGGGCCTCAACTGGAAAGCTTAAGAATCATCATCATCTTCTCTCGAGCTGAACACATTTTTTTCTCCTTTATTTTTGAAAACACCTGTCTGTATTTACCATAACCCAGTGAAGCTAAATATTAAGTTTTAAGTGAAATGAAACAATTTCGCCCGTAAAATAATTCAAATGTTATCTTTTTTGTTCAGGTTTCTTCGTTCCACAATCCCATCACAAAATAGATTAGAATACTCTGTGCGTCATCTGTTTATGGTGCTGGCAGTTTTCGATAGCGTCTCATCAAACGAAATGAAAACAATGTGTATGGCGTAAGCTAGTCTTCACTTTGTTCACAACTTCTACTACTATTATTAGTATTCACTGGTTGGAAACAGATAAATAAAATCATTTGCAGAGGAAAAAAAATTATGGTGTTTTTTAATTGGAATAAAAAAAAAGAAATAATCATGAAAAGAAGCTCGATGTAAGTATGAAGTTTTATCCAATGAATTTTTTGAGAGAGAGAGAGAGAGAGAGAGAAGGAGAGGGAGAGAGAGAGGGAATTGGAAGGTGGCAATGACAGGTGACAGATGAAAGTTGTGACAGTGGCGCCACTGGTGGCGAAAAAAGGAACTAACTTGAATTTAGGTAGCTCTCCATTTAAAATACATTATGAGAGTTCCTGGAACTGTCTTTTTTATACTACTGCTGAATTCACAAGAAGAAATTGACCGCGATAATTTTACATGCGACTGCGATGAGCCATT